AAAAAAAAAAAAAAACGACAGAGAGAACTGGATTTGCTTTCATGAGGAAGAGAGAAAAACGGGAAGACCTTCGTTCTCCTTGGCAATGGCGGGCTCTCCTTCCGACAGCGGCGACAGAGGAAAAAACGGCAAAAGCACGAGACCAAGGGAAAGTCAAAACAGGAAAACTCGAAAGGGAAATCACATGTGATTCGAAAGGAACTTAAGTCTTAACACGATTGGATTGCTCTCACGTGCAACTCTCAATCTACTCGCACGAGTAGATTCTATTTGCTGCAAGGAGAGAGCACACCAATCGTATTAATATATATATATATATATATATATATATATATATATTTGATAAACTCTTTATCTTATATAGAAATTTGATGTTGTATATGAAGTACTATGGCTTTTATGAATGCTTTATTCCCAACATTCATGTAGAGTACTATAATGCTTAATCAAAATTGAAACTAATAAGGTTTTCATAATAAAGAGAATAATCAAAATAATTAGCAATCCACAAGAAGGAAATGGCCTCATTAATGGTCATAAAAAGTTAGGGAAGACCACTTAATTAGAGCCAACCCCAAATAGTTGTGTAGAGAGACTGGCCGAATGGGCCCTAGTATCCGTTTTTATGTTTAAGTAGTATGCTATTTATTTTGTATGTTAATGGGTTTGTTAACCTCTTTTATAAGTTCTTTTAAGTTCTTGCTTAGCTAGCCGCCCACTTAAGGGCAAACTTGTAATTAACCTAGTTAATGAAGATTAATAAAAGAATTAGTGTGGGGAGAGAGGAAATTATTCGAACTCCTCCTTTCTCCCTTATCCATCATTTTCTTCTTCTTCTTCTCTTATAATCTGAAATATTTTACTATTCTTTTATTGGATTGAATCACATCTTGGTATTAGAGCAGGTCTTCCTCCTCTTTTGGTTTTCTTTTCTTTTCTCATGCACCATTCATTTAGAAGAGTTTATGAAGAGATAAATTGTTGACTATTCAGAGAACTTTTTTGCCTAGTTGGCAGAGAGTTTGGAGAGTTAGAGTATGGTTATAGACTGCCAAGAAAGTGGGGCTGCTGATTTTTTGCCCAAAACCCTAGTCGACTAAAGAGTTTCCAGTTACATGTCAAAGAGATTGTTTGGTTGTGGCAGTCAAGGCTTGGATGACTCCTTTTGATCTCTAGAAGTGGGCAATTACAATTGAAAGAGGTTTGGGAAGCTCTGGTAGGAGTGGCTGCTTCTTCTCTCTCTCCCTGGAAGTTGGTGCAATGAAACCTTAGTTTTGGGTCATTTAGGTGTTTAACTGACCTCAGTTAGGTGTATAAAGATTGAAAACATTGTTTTTTTATTTTCGTTTAGTCAATGGAGCAGTTTGGAAGTGATATGAGGCATATCTTGGTGTTGGGGTTGGTCTAGTAGATTCCCTTTTGACAAGAGTGACTACAATCAAACTGGATGGAACCAATTATTTGGCCTGGGCACGATCTATAAAGATTTATGTCTGTAGTAGAGGTAAACTGAGGTTTCTCATAGGCAGTAAGGAAAAATTGACAGACCGATCCTACATATGAGAAGTGAATGCAAGAGAATTACACAATGATTGGATGGTTAGTTAATTCTATGCAGCCTCACCTAAGTCAACATTATCTTTGGATGACTTCAGCTAAGGAGATTTGGGATAGTGTTATAAAAACATATTCTCAGAAGTTGAATGTTGCAAGGGCCTACAAGCTAAAGAATGATGTGAAAATTGAAACAGGGGGAGAAGAGAGTAAAATTGTCTACTACTTAATGTTGAAGTCCCTATGGTAGGAGATTGATGTTATGGAAACAGTGGTATGAGAGAGCACCAAGGATGCAGAGACATTTAGAAAATTCGTGGAACGAAATAGGGTGTTTGAGTATCTTACAGGACTCAACCCTGAACTTGACATTATTAGGCAGAATATTCTGGCCAAGGATGAGGTCACTCTTGCTTAGGCATATGCTATGGTAAGTAGTGAGGAAAGTAGGCAACGGGTACAGTTATAGAGTCCACCTATAGAACACTTTGCTCATGCTAAAATAAAGCCAAAGGGTTCGACTGAGAAGAAAGAAATGATATGTGAATACTACAAGAAACCAAGGCATACTAAGGACACTTGTTAGAACAGATCTTCTCCCAGACAAGTTTCAAAATAACAACAATAACATTAATTTTAAGAAAAATGGTCAAACTAAAAAGCCTAAGAATGATAATGTTGCCACAGTGCCTAAAGGAGAAAATAGGGAAAGTGAAGAAAAATTAGCTATAGAGTAACTAACAACAATAAAGGTAGAGTTTGAAAAGTATGGGAGATTTTTGAATCACTTGGAAACCACTATCTTAGCATCCAACCCTTCCAGCAACACCTCTTCATCCGTATTTGCTCACTTAGGTACTTGTGCTTCTACAAATCATGCTACTAATTCAAATAATCATAAAATCCCTTAGATTATTGATTCTAGTGCATCAAACCATATGGCTAGTTTATCTAACATCTTTTGTTCATATCAAATCTTCTATGGTAGAAAGAAGATAACCCTTGCTATTAGGTCTCTTGCTCCCATCTCTGGCAAAGGGATACCAAGGCCTCTAACACCCTTGTCTTATCCTCTGTTCTTCATTTCCCCAAACTTAATACTAATATTTTATTTGTTAGTAGCTTGATTAAATCTATGAACTATAGCATAACCATTTTTCCTACCCA